TATATATATATATATATAAATATATTTTTCAAAATAATTAATTTGTTTCATAACATTTTTTCTTTTTTCTATTCCTTACTACCGTAAAAATAATACGAGTCTTGTTATAAATTTATTTGACATTAATTAACATATAAAATTTTGTATTTTATTGAAATATTTGCGACAATTTTTACTGCAGTTTTATATAGTATATATATATATTTATATTTTCTTTACACGCTAATAATTTATGTTAATATATGTTAAATACTTGTCGTACTTTATGCATTTTATTTAACTTTTCCGTTCAAATATGTATGATGATGTTAAAACTAAAGTGTGTTTTATTAAAAGTCACGTTACTACAATGTTCTCTTTTTATTATTTTTTTTTTTATTTCTCTCTCTCTCTTTCTCGTGTGTTTTAACTTCTCAATGTTTTTTTTATCTTTTTCTTTTTATTTTTTTTTTACAGTTGCTTTAATTTTATTCAATTTTACTTGCTTTTTTTTTCTCTTCTTCTTCTTCTTCTTCTTCTTCATACTCCACGTTCTTCGCTGCTATGCATATATATTTACTAATCATCATAGTAATCTTCTAACTTGGTGTCTGCAAACTTCTAACTTATTCCTAATACATTTACAGTTATTTCACTTGCTGTATATTTACTTATACTGCTGTTTTCTTATCCGGTATATACATTATACGATATTCATGTGTTGTTTTTATTTATTTTTTATTTTTGTTAAAAGTGTTTAAATAATTCCTATAAGATGTGTTTTCATGTAAATATACCTAACACACGAAAGAAGAATACTTTGAACAAATTAACCAATTAAAATTGTGATCGACGAGTATACTTGTCATGAGATATATACTCGATTCTGGTTACACAAATGTTTAAAATGAATTTTAAAAAGATATAAATTTCATTCTATTTGTGTATTATCAATTATATGAGACACCTTGTATATATTATATTTAAACTTAAATAAACGTGACGAGTATACTTGTCATGACGTATATACTCGATTCTAACGACACAAATGTTTAAAATAAATTTTTTTTTTTTTTTTTTTTTTTAAACAAATTATAAATTTCATTCTATTTGTATGATTAATTATATGAGACACCTTGTATAAATTATATTTAAACTTAAATAAAACGTGAATAATTAACTTGCATAGTCACAAGAAATGACGTAATTAAAGTTTATTTAATTATCCGATATATAATCTAAAGAGGAAACACACATTTTCCCCCTATTTTAACCCTTATTTATAACCCTTATTATTATATTAACTTTTATAATATATATATATACACACACACAGTAAAGTTTGTTCATTCGCGTAACGATTGCAAAACCAAACTCAGTGACCTTGCATAATCGAATCAAATGGGTGTTATTTAAATGACACCAGATATAACAGAGTTGTTGGATATTTATGTTAAAAGATAAATTNCATAATCGAATCAAATGGGTGTTATTTAAATGACACCAGATATAACAGAGTTGTTGGATATTTATGTTAAAAGATAAATTTAATTAAAAAAAAAAATAATCATAGTAAAACGTTTAACATTTTTTTTTTCTTTACAGAACAAAGTTTATCATTGAACTACTAGTGTATAAATACGGGGGCTGAGAGGGTGAGGAACAATGGGTGCTGCGTTAAAAAAAGAGACAAGAAGAAATGTAGAAACAAGATAAAAAAAATAGGATAATAAAACGTTAAGGTAAGAAGATTGGATAGAAAGAAATAAGAGAAAGAGAGAGAGAGAGAGAGAGAGAGAGAGTAAGAAGATGTCTGGATACCTTAAAGTCTTGAATAATGATTAAATAAAAGATTTTCCATTTGAGGAATGCCGAGGAAAAAGGATCTTTAACAAGATCCTTCTTACAAATGCCAACTTACAAACTTATAACGTTTTAATGATTAATTAATTATTTTTCAAGTGGCCCAAGTAAAATATCAAAGTTTCTTTCTACTCCTCCTCCTCCTCCTCCTCCTTCTCCTCCTACTTTTCATTCAAGTTTGAATAAATAGTCAAGAAGGTTGTTTTCCACGAAAAATGATGGATAATTGTTTTTCAACATTTAATAACGAACGTGAACGAATCTGAACAGAATTGTAATAATAATACTTTAATTTTTGTCATTTTCACGAGGATACAAAAAAAAAAAAAAGAAGAAGAAGAAGAAGAAGAATAAAAAATACATTGCAATGTTTGAAATAGGACAAGGACAGAAAGAAAGAAGTCGTACTCGTACTCAAAGGGTATCTCTCGTTAATTATGAAAATGAATTAGTAAATATCGAATTTCGAGTATGACTTTTGTCCATCGTACTCTTCCAAAATTTCTTTTTCATTAAATTTCACTACTTTCTCTCTCACCCTTTCTTCGTTGTTCACTCACTCTTCAATCTTTCTCTTTTTCTCTGTCTCTTTTCTGTCGGAAGAAGACTTTTTAGATACAATCGTTCTTTTCTGTTCGGACTTTGTTGTTCATTGATAGGAAAAAAAAAAAAAAAAAAAAAAATAAAAATAAATTAAAAAAAAAAAATCAAGAAATAAAGAAAGAAATAAAGAAAGAAATGAAAGATACAATGAAACGTTCGTTAGGATGGAATTCGTTTGGTTGTGAAAAGAGAAAGAAATAGATAGTATGTGTGTGTATATGTGCGTGTGGGAGAGAAATAGATAGTATGTGTATGTATGTGAGAGAGAGAGAGAGAGAGAGAAGGAAAGAGATAGAAAGATTCAACAATGTACTATCCTTGGCAATTTCTTCTTTTCTCTTATTGCATCCGGGTCTCGTAAAGGGTAAAAAAAAAAAAAAAAAAAAAAAACTCAACGATAAAATGAAATCAATCCCCGTTTTGTGAACCGTTCGAAAACTAACCCGTTACGTAAAAAAAAAAAAAAAAGAAAAGTAAAAAAAAATAAAAAGGGCAAGAAAAAGAAAAGGGGGAAAAAAAGCGCGGAAACTTGTACTGTAGGTTACAAGACGCGAAGTACCACTGAAATTGGCAAGCACCAAGGAGTAGTTTTGCTTCGGATGTCTAATCGATTAGAACTCTTCCTTCCTTAGCCACCCCCCCCTCCCTCCCTCTCTCCTCTTCTACTCCCCCTATACTCCTTTTTCCATTCCAATTCAAGAACTCCTTACGGACGAATCTTCTAACTTTTTTCCCCCTCCCTGTTCGTTCGTTTGCTTCGCGATGCAACCGAATCACCGATAGATCCCTCTAACTATCATCCTCCAACTTTTTCTTTACGAAAAAAGAGAGTAATAGAGAAATAGAGAAGAAGAGAGAAATAGAGTATCGAAAATACTTTTAATCTGAATGAATAAAGTATATATATATATATATATATATATATATATATATATATATGTGTGTGTATTACGTATTTATATTACAATACGTAGATACTTGTCAAAATTACATTGTATCGAATTTTGAATATAGAAAATTATTCTATATTTTTGATACTATTAACAAATTTAACATATTTAGGAAATTTTTGATAATAGAAATATTTTATTTTATTTTTTATATCAATTTTTGTTTGTTTTTTATATATAAAATGTTTGACACATATAATTAACAATATTTTTTATTTATATATATATATATATATATATATAAATATAAAAAATAATATATAATTAAATATTATAATATTTTATTATATAAAAAAAATTAAAAAAAAAAAAAAAATAAAAATTATATCCAAGTTTACACAAAAATGACATATTTTCAACGAATGTTTATTGGAAAAACTTACAGGTCCTGTTAAACGGTGTTCTATCAAAAATTTCGTAGAAATTTCACGACTACATGCACACAAACACACAAACAAACACACTAACACAAAAATACACCTTTTTGAAACCATTTTAGATAAATTATCGTCAAAGTTCTTCTTACTATCATCCGTTATACGATAGCATAGAGGAATAGTCAGAAGAGTGTTACTTATGATATCATCATCTTTTTCTCCCTATACTTTTACCAGTATGTATCTCTTAATTTATGAATTTTCCTAGGGATGTGTTTTTTTTTTTGGGTGGAAAGTTGAAAAGAGGTTATCACTGTTCTCCTTAACCTGTTCCCTAGCTCTCCTCCTTCCCCACCTTTCCGTAAGTCGACCGTAAACTTTCATAAAAGTCCTTTTCGCCTACGTTCGCTTGTTCCAAATTGCAACGGTTGCATCGGACGCCCTTGCTCGTTTCTCTCCCTTACGGGTATTTCAATTGAGAATGTGTTACGCAAAATGTAATCCCAGACAGAGAGAGAGAGAGAGAGAGAGAAAGAGAAAGAGAGAGAGAGAGAGAGAGAGAGAGAGAGAAGGAGATACTTCGTAAGAGGGCACAGCTTGAACGATAAAATATCGGAAATGGTTAAAGTTAATTAACTTTCTTATCTACATTATCGGAAGGGGAAAAACATTACGAGAACTATCGAATGGTTTTAAATAACGAATAAGTATAATAATAATAATAATAATAATAATAATAATAATAATCCATATTTTATTAATTATTTCATATTTATCGATTATACGTTATGTTTGCAATATTTTGTCATTTTTTTTTTCTTTTTTGTTTAATTAATAATGTCATTTAAATTTTACGTAAGTTAGCATTTACAAATGTTATTATCCTATTATATATTAGTATTATTATTATTATTATTATTATTATTATTATATGCAATATTTAGTAATTCTTTTGTTTAAACGATATCGTCATTGAAATTGACGTAAGTTAGTATTTACAAATGTTATTATAATTATTATTAAATAGAATGAATTAATATTGTTTTATTCATATGACACAATTGTCTTTTATAAATAATCTTCAAGGACTCTATCCTTTTGTATTATACACTTGTAATATAGTTTTCAATGTGATAACAGTGATAATAATTTATGAATTATTGATAAATGATTTATATGATCTTTTTATTTTTTTTTTTGTTTTTTTATTCCAGTTGTGTATATTCAGCTTTGAGTAATTTATCATCATCGTCATTGTTTTGTAAATACTTTTGACACCTGGTTTAATAATTATTGCATTTTCATTCTACAACGTTGAGGAAAACCATTTCCATGCTCTCGTGACCGTGAAATCGTACAATGGTTATATACGATACTAGTTCTACGTATTTACTAACTATAGCACTTAAGTATTATTAGAGTTGTGACACAGACAACAGACTTGGTTAGACTTATTTTTCTTGAATATTTTATTCGTTTATAGTCGTTACCTGATACTATTCGAAATCATGTGTCTCTCATTTTATAAACAATTTTGATTATATAAAATTCGAGGTTCATTTGAATGTTAAATTGAAAAAAAGAAAAATACAAAATCGACTTAAACGAATGAAACATTATTTTTGTTAATATTCTAATGGTTTATTTTTTGAATTATTTATTGACAGATAAAGCAGATCAAGTGTCTTTCATTTTGTATACAATTTTTATATGATATTCATTTTTATTTATTTTTTTTTTTAGAAATTCGATGCTCGTTCGATAGCTAAATTGAAAAAAAAAAAATCGAAAATAATTATTTTTAATTATAATATAATAATTAATATATAGTATCATTAATTTATAGTATATTAGTATTATATAATTATAATTTTATATTTATAATTATAATATATAGTATATAACTAATATATAGTATAATTTTTGTATACTATATATATATATATATATATATATATTATACTTTAAATATTAATATAATATTTATAATATAATAAAATAAATTTTAAATAATTTCTAATATAATATATATATATATATAGATATAAAATTTGTTAAAATATTCGAAAGATTATTTTTTAATTATTAATTGATAGATATTTGTCATGCCCATATAACTGTAATTTAATGTATTATTGTTATTGGAGGTAAAAAAAAAAAAAAAATAATAAACTATTAGGATACATCTTCATTGAAGAAAAAAGACAGAACCCATATAGTAACCATAATTGAGATAGATTATCACAAACCATAAGAAGAAGAAACTTCTTGTTAGATCGTCGTTTCCCATTAAAGAAATATACAACGGAAAGAAATGGTAGAAGTAACATAAATTGCTATATATATATATATATATAAAACTAAAAAAGAATACTGTTATTTCTCTGTGGATATTATTTCTCGGATTTTGTTAAATCCTCTTTTCAAAATCATCAAAAAGTACATTTTTTACGAAGTAACATTCGTAAATTTCGACAAAAAAATTACTTGTTTTTAAGCATTCCCTTATATAGATATTATACTAATTACATGTGCTCTATAATCATTAGATAGATAATAATTTCTGTTTCAAGTTTTACTGGTATTCTTTATCTCTTTTTGTTTTCGTATTTAAAATGTTAATGAATAATTGTTTTTCTGTTTTTTCTTTTTTCCTTGGGGGAAAAAAAAACCAAAAAAAAAAAACAAAACAAAAATAATTTTATAAATAAAAAATTATATAAATTATAAAATATATAAAAATATATATATATAAATTATAAATAAAAATTAATTATACAAATAATTTGATTTATTAAATATATAAATGTAATCAAATATAATAATTAAAATATAATAATAACTTCAAACCAATAAAAACTGACAGGTGAAAAATATGTCTCTTACGATAGGGAAAATTAAAATATATAATTATTATATAATTTTAAAAAACTATAAATAATAATATAA